GCTTCTCCATCTGATCCCCTTTTAATCAATATTACCTAAGTGGCTATACTGATAATCTTTTTTTTTTTTTGGTACCCGAGATCAAACTCGGGACCTTGCGCTTCCGAGGCAGGCGCCGGAACCACTGAGCTAAATCCCTAGCCCAGTATACTGATAATCTTATTGGTCAACCATAGTTTTGTTCCACCTTATACTCCCCTTACCTCGTGGCTTTGCTCTATAAACTCCCTTTAAAAGCAGCAGTGGGGGCTGAGGATTTAGCTCAGTGGTTTTGCCTGCTTGCCTCAAAAGTGCAAGGTCCTGAGTTCAATACCCGGTACCAAAAAAAAAAAAAGCAGCATTGGGGGCAACCCACTTTGTGGGGGCAACCTTCTATCTCTCTTAGACAGAAACCATCTTTCAGTAAGTTCTTCCTACTCTTTTTTTTTTGGTACCGGGGATCGAACTTGGGTCCTTGCGCTTACACAGCAGGGGGCAAAACCACTGAGCTAAATCCTCGGCCCAAGTTCTTCCTACTCTTAACCTCCATTGTTCCTAGAATTCATTCTTGGATTTTTAGAGAACACAAAATAGGTGTGTCTGACATCTAGCAGGTTGAGAGTTGTACTATTTCCCTTCAATTATTTGGAGACCCATAGACTATATGCCCTGCATCACTGGGGTTACAAGCATGGGCCACCACGGCTGCCTCTTCCTCCACTTTCTCTATTTTTGTCTACGACAGGGTCTTCTTATGAAGTTTCAGGGCGGGGAACTTGTGGTGATCCTGCCTCAGCCTCCCCAGTGCTGGGATCACACAAGTGCGCCACCACCACGCCTGGCTAGGTGCTTGTTTTATCTGGGTCATCTCCTTCACAGCTTTCCTCAAACCCTCGGTGTCTTGCTCATGTTTGGGTGGGGAGCAGAAGAACACCTTGTACTTGGTGCTGGGGTTGGGCTTCTCAGCTGGAGATTTTTGTCAGTGTTATCTGGTTGAGAAATTTCTCTGGGGATTCCTGTGTCACACGCCATAGGTCTTTCCCTTAAGCAGAACAGATTCCCTTAAGGGCTTTTCTAATATCTTCCCCAGAGGATAAAGTCCGGGTAGCCTGTCCTCTGGGGAAACCAGGGCTTCAGTATTCCATGTGTGCACTCTGCGCCCATGCAGGGCATGGAACTCAGAGCTTTGCAGGGCCAGAGATGCAGTTCAGTGGTGCTGCACTTACCTGGCAAGGCCAAGGTCCTGAGTTTGATCCCCAGTACCACAAAACAAAACAAAATAAAACAAAACCTCAGAGCTTTGCACACGCTGGGTGAACCCTCCACCACTCAGCTATCCTCCCAGCCCTCTGAATATTGCTCTAACTCCCAATTTTCCCTCTCCTATTCCCTCTTGTTAACAAAGCCTCTCCAGGTGGGGGATTTAGCTCAGTCAGTGGTTTTGCCGCCTGCTGCAAAAGCGCAAAGACCAGAGTTCGATTCCCCGTACCAAAAAAAAAAAAAAAGAAAAAGAAAACCTCTCCTGTTTTATCTGGGGTCAGTGGGCAGAGGAGGCCTGAGATATTAGTTTTGGCCCCTTCCCTTCTCCAGCTGCTATACGCCACTCCTCCTGGGGATTTTGAGGTTTCCACAGTAGGATCCATTGATTCTTGCTATTCCCCGAGGTGAGCGGGGCTTTCAGCTCTCATAGATATGCCAGTCAGTAACTTCTGATATATGAATCGTCCACATTCCAAAATATTACCTACTCTGAATCCCCATTTTTTGTAGGTTTAAATCCTCAACATTGTCTTTAATGCCTTTAAAAAAAAAAAAATCAGAGCCAAGGATTTAGCTCAGTGGTTTCACTGCCTGCCTCACAACTGCAAGGTCCCGAGTTTGATCCTTGGTACCAAAAAAAAAAAAAAAATCCAGCTGGGCGTGGTGGTGCATGCCTATAATCCCAGCACTCAGGAGGTTGAGGCAGGAGGATTGCTGTGAGTTCGAGGCCAGCCTGGACTACACAGAGAGACCCTGTCTCAAAAAACAAAAACAAAAACAAAAACAAACAAAACAAAAAAATCCCTTTAAGCCAGGCCTGGAGGCATGCATCTCTGATCCCAGCACTTTGTGAGCATGAGGCAGGAGGATTGCACGTTCAACCCAAACCTGGGCGATTTAGCAAGACCTTGTTTAAAAAAAAAAAATTAAATAAAAAAATTAAAGGGGGGAGGGCTGGAGATGCACCTCAGTACAAAGGCCTTAGGTTCAATCCCTAGCACTAGGGAACAAACCCCTTTAGGAAGTAGCTCAGCAGCAGAGTGCTTGGCTCTCGGGCGTGAGGTCCTGGTTCACTTCCTGCACTGCGGGGGACATCCCCTAAAATGGCACAGTCCCCACAATCCCCAGAATCCTCCAGGCTGTGTGAATTTACTGGCCAACACAGCAAGTCCCCATCTCAGAACAAACCTCTTTATTGAAGTTTTAGTAGGATTTTAGGAAACAAATAATGTCTACTTATGTCACTTTTGTCATTGTTGTTGTTACTAGGGATTAAATCCAAGGTCTTCACTCTAAACTCACACTGCTAACCCCCCCCCTTTTTTTTTTTTTGGTACCAGGGATTGAACTCAGGACCTTAGGGCTTCGAGGCAGGCACTGGAACCACTGAGCTAAATTCCCGGCCCTTATTATTATTTTATTATTAGGGTTAATTTTTAATAATACATGTTGCAAATTTCTAAAGTATATATATATATAGTAAACATGGGGATTTAGCTCAGTGGTGCCGCCACCTGCCTCACAAGTCCAACGTCGAGTTCGATCCCTGGAACCAAAAAAAAAAGTATATATATATAAATATATATTATTATGTAATATTAGAATATAGTGAGAAATACATTCCCTTCCCTTCCTTCTCCTGGAGTTTCTATTACCAAGTTCTTGCTTGAAAACAACCTTTGGAGGGTAAGGTGTGTACTGAATGAGACACCACCAGTCTTCACAGTAAGAAGACCCAGTTTGGAAAGTCTGCTAAATCAAGACAGGTCTCTAGAGGGGTGGCTTCTCGCAGGGGAGCAAGATGTGTTGTGCTGACAAGTGGCAGGAACAGTCACTTCTCGTGGTTGTTTTGTTTTGTTTGAGACAGGGTCTCACTATGTAGCCCAGGCTGGCTTCCAACTCACAGTGATCTTCCTGCCTCAGCTTCCCGAGTGCTGGGATTATAGGCGTGCACCACCACGCCTAGTTTTGTGTTCTAAACCATTTCTTTGGGTATTAACATCACATTTTTCTCTCAAATTTAGCACCAGGCTCCCCAGTACTCTATCCACTTTTCTTTTTTTGATACTGGGGATTGAACTTGGGACCTTGCGCTTATGAGACAGGCGGTGGCACCACTGAGCTAAATCCCTGGCCCAACTATCCACTTTTCAAATGAAGAAAGTGAGACTCAGAAAAAAGGAGTGACTCCCCAAAGTCATCTGGGGAAGCCAGATTCCAAAGCAGGTACAGTATCATAAGTCAGCCTTAGACGGAGTGCCGGCTGGGCTGCAAGATCGGACCTGGTGGTCTAGTTTCTCGGTGTGGTCCCTGCTTTGCAGTCAACTGACTTCTGGGCTCCCCCCTACGCTTACTAAATAGAGGCTCTCTGGCTGGAATCTGGACATTTGTGTTTTTTTCTGACACTTTCCTAGTGGACATTGAATTTTTCCTTATGTACATTCAATTTTGCTGCGGCTCAAACCCAAGCATGGCAGGCAAGTGCTCTTCCACTGAACTATACGTCCAGCTCCACCGTTGTTCTGAGCACAGTCGCAGAGAAAATGCTCGGGGCAAACAGACCTAAGTGGGCTTCACAGGGAAGGTGGCGCCTGACTCTATGGAGCTGAGAGGCAGGGAGGAGGGAAGCCACCTCACGCTTGTCTGAGGGAAGACTTAAGCCTAGGCCTCTCACTGATCCTCTTCGCTGCTGGCATCATCGCTGCTTCCCTCATCTTCCCACCTCCTTCAACAGCCTGTTCAGGGGCTCAGCTCAGTAGAATTTTCTGCTTTCTTCGAGCAGGGACGTGGTGAGCACACCAAGGTGGATTCATATATAAAGGACACACACAGGACAGGAAAGGGCAGAGAGTATGGAACCACAGGTGGCCAGGGCAGGAAAGGTGCAGAGCCCTCCTTCAGGGCAGCATTAGTGAGCTGGACAGGACGCTCATGAACATGCGTGGATACAAAGGGCCCTCAGCAGGGCCTAACAAGCAGCGTGCACAGGCAGGGCTGCGGAGGGACAGGTGAGGGGCACAGGAGGCTCACGATGGACTCAAGTTAGCCTTCAGAATTGTGAAAGGCACCGAGGCGGTTCCAGAGCCCGCCCCTCTTCCTGCCTCTTTGGTTGCCCTGAAGGGCGGGGAGGTACAGGCTGAAGGGTGCGGTTGGCTCCTGGATGTGCGCCCTGGTCCTGGCGAGGGACACAGCTTCCTCCTTCCTGTGTCACATTTATTTCAGCTCGCAGATGTTTTATTAGGCTTTGATGCTTTCAGGATTGCAGCTCAATTTCGTAGAGGTCCCTCAGCGCTGGCTCTCCTAGGGCTGTCTCATTCTAAGGTCCAGCCCGGGTACCCCGGGCGCTTAGTCAGATCGTGTACACCCACTTTTCCTTTAATCTCCCCCACCCCCGCCCGACCCGCTCCGCTACCTTCCCAGCCTCCCTCTCTCTCGACGTCACTGGCAGGTTCTAAGCGCACCACGTCACCCATCAACTTCACGGGATGTCCCAGGAACTTCTAGTACCGACGTGCTCTCGCACCAGTCTCCGCGACGCCGCGATGCCCGATGGGGCTTGTGGTCCCATAGCCATTGCCACTAGATCAGACAAACTACATATCCCAGAAATCCCTGCGCCAGAGGCGGGCTCCCTGCGGTCGCGAAGCAGGAACCCCCCCTTGGCCCGCCCTCAGACTACAACTCCCGCCGTGCCTTGCGCCGCAAGCCCCGACAGGGACCGTGGCTGTCGCCAAAGGCTCCCTGGGAGTAGTAGTTCCTAGGTTGGTGCGGCGAGGAGGAGGAGGCGGAGTGACTCGGCGGCCATTAGCTGTGTATAGTTGCCCGGGACTAGGAGCTTAAGTGAAGAGGGAAATCATATTCTGTGGAAATCAGTCGTGGCCATGGGCTCCAGCCAGGGTTAATCTCAGAGTACGGAGCAGGCGGGGCCCGTCGGCGCCCCGCCCCGCCCAGTGGCGGGGCCTGCTAGGCCTCGCGGCATCCCCGGTCTCTAGTAGGCCCAGTCTGCCGGCAAGGGCGTCCCAAAGGCGGGAGGCGCCATGTCTCTGGTTGCCTACGCCAGCAGCGATGAGAGCGAGCCAGACGAGGGGGAGCCGGAGCCGGAGGAAGAAGAGGCGGCGGCCCTTGCGCCTGGGCCCACCTTGGGAGGCTTGTTCGCTTCCCTTCCTGCACCCAAGGGTCCGGCCTTGCTGCCCCCGCCCCCCCAGATGCTGGCCCCGGCCTTCCCCCCGCCCCTGATGCTGCCCCCGCCCGCCGGAGACCCCAGACTCCAGCCTCCTCCGCCCTTGCCCTTCGGCCTGGGAGGCTTCCCCCCGCCTCCAGGCGTGAGCCCGGCTGAAGCGGCGGGAGTCGGGGAGGGGATGGGTCTGGGGCTGCCAGCTCCCCGAGGCCCTGGCCTCAGCCTGCCCTCCCCTGTCGGCGGTGCCGGCCCCCCCCCGGGGCTTCCCAAGCCAAAGAAGAGGACAGAGCCGGTGAAGATCGCGGCGCCGGAGCTGCACAAGGAGGATGTGAGTATCCGGGAGGGCACCCCAAACTGTCCGTCGGGTCGGCTGTAGGAGGGACTTGTGTCGAGTACGGGACTCCTTAAAAACTGCAGCTGTCGACTCAGCCACTGGAATCCCCGTACTGTGTGATTAACTGAGCGTAGGTTTGTCAGCTTGGGGCTTAGGTTGTTTGGCCACGCGAGTTTCTCCAAGCCGGGCTCACCCGCAGAAGGCCGGGTATCGGCGTTCCCTGGCAGTGACGGGCTCGGGTCTGTGCCTGGGAATACTTGCTCCTGCTCCCCCTAGGCATCTTCACCTCAGGCTGGCTTTCCCTGCCTCCCACGCTGCGCAGGATGAAATGTGACACTGAAGAGGTGACGGGGGACCTGACTCTTGAGCCCTTGCTGGACAACGTCACCAGCCTTAAAAGCATCAGAGCCTGGGGGAAAGAGGACAGGATTCCTATACTCTTAATTTTTAAGAGAAGTTAGAGAAGACATGGAATATTTGTTGCATGTAAATCATTTGCCAGGGATTGGTCCTTTCATCAATTATTATAGAACTCTGGGAGAACACATAAAATTTTTTTTTTTTTTTTTTTTTTTTTTTTGGTACCAAGGGTCAAACTCAGGACCTCGGGCCTGCTAGGCAGGTGCTGTGCCACTGAGCTACATCCCCAGCCCACACATACTGTTTTTTACTGGTAAGAAAGCTTAGCATGCAAGGCCTTACCTGGTGAAAGGCAGAGTGGAGATTTAACAGTTGGGTCTAAAATTAGGTGTAGTGGTGCATGTCTGTAATCCCACCTACTTGGCAGGCTGAGGCAGGAGGATCACAAATTGGAGTCCAGCCTGGGCAGCTTAATGAAAATAAAATTTTAAGGGTTGGGGATTTAGCTCTGTGGTGTCTCGCCTGCCTGGCAAGCACAAGGTCCTGAATTTGATTTCCGGTACCGAAAACAAATAAAATTTTAAAAAGGGCTGGGACCCAGGCATAGTGGCACACTCCTGTAATCCCAGGGAGGCTGAGGCAGGAGGGTTGCTGTGAGCTTGATGCCAGCCTAGGCTACCTGGTGAGTTTAAGGCCACTCTGAACTGCATAGTGAGACCTTGTCTCAAAAAACCAAGAAAGGGCCGGGGGATTTAGCTCAGTGGTTTTGCCGCCTGCTGTGCACCTGCAAGGACCTGAGTTCAATCCCCGGTACCAAAAAAAAAAAAAAAAAAAAAACAACCAAGAAAAAAAATGGTCTGGGGATGTAACTGGTAGAGAAAGTCCCTCACATGCATGAAGCTGTGTGTTCAAACCCCAGTACTACAAAACAACCAAAAAGCAAAAAAAGAGCTGGTCTGTTTGAACCTCAGACCTATGGCTTTTGGTGTTGTTGAGCTTGGGTGGTGTTTTAGATGAGGCAGACAAGCAGGCTTATGTTGTTTTCAGAGGGTGGAGCAGAGCAGTACCACAGGCCTCTTTGGCAGTGAGTGCTGGGGGTGTAGAAGACAGTGAGTCTGTGGCCAGTTGTTCTCTGCTCTGAGCATTTAAGAATCAGCGCTTGTTCATACTTGACAACCTTGCTTTTCTTTAGCATTCTAGCCCGGCTCAGGAGCCTTTCTGTTCTTTGCATTGTTGTTCCTTCATTTTTCCCCCAGAGCCCTCCCTGGTTCAAGCCTTGGTTTGGTTTATTAAAAAAAAGGAATGTTTTTAGTGAGTACTTCCCTAGCCTATCTAGTTAAACTGCCACCTCCTATGTCTGCTACTCCTGGCCCCCATTCTTTGTTTTGTTTTTCTGCATAGCACATAACCACCATCAAACAGCGCAAGTATATAATTTATTTGCCTCTCTCCTAGTATACAAAGCTGGTGAAGGCAAAGATGATTACTACTTTAATTCACTGCTAGTTAGTATAGTGCCTGGTGTGTATTTTGGACTCTAGTTTTTTCTGAGTGAATGAACTCAAATGAGTATGGGTTCTTCCTAAAAGGAGGTTTCAGAGTCTCCCTCCCTGTCTTTAGATAGAGTAGAGAACGCTGCAGGAGAGGCTGTAGTAGACTCTTCTGTCTAGGTTGGCTGCAGCAGCAGAAAACTGGGGACTCTGCTGTCCCTCCTTTGTGAGTATAATTCACTACATTTCTGAGGTGAATAGTGACATGGCCAGTTAAATAAAATGCTGCCCCTTGGCCAGTTGTTTTCCATTTTCTATTCCAGTTGGTAGTTTTGTTCTCTGAACACACAGTTCCTGGGAAAGGTGCCTAAGAATGTACCGGATAGTCAGTGAGTGTTCCGGGTCTGGGAACCTCTGATTCTGAGTTCCATGGCAGTCATTTATTCATTTATACCAGGGATCGGACTCAGGACCTTGCACTTTCGAGGCAGGCGGCAGAACCACTGAGCTAAATCCCCAGCCCCCCATGAGCTCCATGTCGTGCACTTAGTGGACTTTCAGTTTATGTTTGAAGGAATGATTAGTTCCCTTAAATAATTTCCTTTAGGGTTTGGTGCTAGTGTTCAAGTAATTGACTCTGCGTTTGTTGTTGTTTTTTTTTAAACCCTGGGGATTGAGTTCAGGACATTTGCACTGAGTTACATCCCCAGCCTTTTTTATTTATTTTGAGTTGGGGTTTTACTAAGTCTGTAAGTTTACTGGGCTGGCCTCAAACTTGCAGTCTTCCTGGCTCAGCCTCCCACAGTGCTGGAATTATAGGCGTGCACCACCATGCCAGGCTTAACTGGAACTCATGGAGATCCTTTTGCCTCCTGAGTGCTGGGATTACAGGTGTGTGTCTGGTGCAGCTACTTCTTTGTACTTGGAGCTGAGGACAGTAGTGAACTTGCCCAGAAGGAATTTAGGGTTTACTCCTGGGAGGCAGATAAAGAAGTAAAATTTCAGGTCAGCAAACTTTTTGGAGACATGGTCTGTGCAGGTCAGGATGGCTTGGAACTCACTGTAGTTCACACTGGCTTTAAACCTGCCCTGACCCACCTGCCTCAGCTTCTCAAGTGCTAGGATTACTGGTAAGCACTACCAGGCCCAATTAAGATTTCAGGCAAGTCGGGAAAGAATTCTGGTAGAGTTGGTCCCTGTGAGCACCTGTAGCAGGCTGTGATCCTGTCTAGGGAGGCCAGCTAGGCTGACCAGAGAGGGAGGGGCTCATCAGAGATGAGGGAGCAGCGAGCGCATGGACCGAAGAGACAGAACAGACTGAGGAGACTTGTACTGTGAGAGACAGAGAGAACCTCCAGGCAGTGGCTGAAGCACGAGGTGGGGCGTGGCACCACGGGAGATGGGGCTGGAGAGGGAGCCAAGGGCAGGCTGTCCCGATCTGGCCCTTACAGGCCAGGCAAGGCCTCGTTCACCACAGAGCAGTGAGCTCCGTGTGGGAGGTGATGGTGGCCTGCCTCAGAACAGGAAGGGGCTGGAGAGCTGCAGGACCAGGACAGAGATGGCAGGAACTGAGGTGCTGGAGCAGAGCTTGCCTGGGTGTCAGGAGGGAGAGCAGTCACGGCTCACCTGTGTTTCGGCTCAGGCTGGGCGGCTCAGATCAGTCAACTCTCCTTGGCTGCAATGTCGAACTGCCTCACAGGTGCTCAGCGCTGCCTCAACTGCCGGGTCCTGCTGGGGACTCTCACCGCAGGCCTTCAGTCTCTGTAGACAGTGTCCTCCACTTAGCCTTTGCTGCAGGTGGAAGATGGCCACCTCCACCTTCCAGGTTTATTTCCTTCCTTTCAGAGTCTCTCCCAGAGACTATAACCAAACTATAATTTAGTCCCCATGCTGCTTTTCCAGGAGAGAATCTGATTTGGTTTGGATCAGGTTGTCCAGGGATCTGCAGTCGTGGCAGTACCAAAGTCTCCTTCCAGGTGCCTTTCAGTCAGCTTCAGTCCACTTAGATTTAGGTGGGGAATTAATAATGAACCGTATACATGTAAGCCCTCCCCAAGAGGATTATGAACTGCATGAACTGCAGACATGTACTAATAAAAACGTTTTAGGGCCGGGGATTTGGCTCAGTGGTTTCTCCGCCTGCTGTGCAAGCTCAAGGACCCAAGTTCGATCCCCAGTACCAAAAAAAAAAATTTTTTTTTTAAAAGAATTTGATTACTGAATGAGTGACAGTTAACAAAAAAAAAAGAATGAGCCATAGAGCCAGGCATGGTAGCACCTTCCTGTGATTGGCAAGTTCTACACAAAAAACAAAAGATGCACCACAGAATGAAGACTCATCCTTTCCTTTTTCCCTCCGTACGCTTGCTCTGACTCAAGCCACATTGGCTGATTCCCCAGGTTCAGGGATGTAGACTTATGAAATCAGGATTTAAAAAAAACAACCCCAAATTAGAGTAAGTCTGCCTTAGGACTTTTCTCTCACATAATAATGTGTGTTATTTCCGGGTTGGGGCTGGTGCGGGGGGTGTAGCTCAGTGATGGGGCCCTTGCCCAAGCCCTGAGCTCCAGTCCCAGCCCTGGGGATAGGAACGTTAGCAGCCCTGAATTAGTATTACATCTACGTTCTGATCGTTACGCAGAGCTCTGAGACTGAAATTTCACTAGTTCTCATCATTTCTGATACCCAGGTAATTAAGTGTTTCCTGCAGTGGGTTAGGTAAGTTTCGGTTCCGGACAGGCAGGGAAGGGGACACATACTCATTCTCGGCATGTGGGCACCTGCTGAAGGTCTGCCACTGCCCGACTCTCACCTGCCCAGTTCAGGGAACAGAGCTGATTTACTAAACACCCTGTTTGGGAGTACCAGAGACTGATTTGAACCTGCATGCGTTTTGTTTTGTCTTAGTGCAGGCCGAAAAGATGAATGAAGAGCTAGGGGCAGCCAGAAAGCAGTGTAAACCAGGCACCTCAGTGCACCCCTGTAATCCGTTACACAGATGGCCGAGGCAGGAGGATTGGAAGTTTGTTTGTTTTTTTTTTTGGTACTGAGGATCGAACTCGGGTCCTTGCGCTTGCGCAGCAGGCAGCGAAACCACTGAGCTAAATCCCCGGCCCAGGATTGGAAGTTTGAAGCCAGCCTGGGTGGTCTAGCGAGACCCTGTCTCAAAAAATAGAAAAGGGCTGGGGGCTGGGGATGTAGCTCAGTGGTGCCCCACCTGCCTGGTAAGCGCCAGGTCCTGTGTTCGATCCCCGGTACTGGGGAAAAGGCCTGGGCTGCAGCTCAGAGGTACAGTGCTTGCCCAGCATGTGAGGCCCTGGGCTCAGTCCTGTTACCCAAACCATGCGTGCAAGAAAAGCAGGTCAAATGAGGGTGCAAAAACAAGAGAAAAAATGAAATTCTGCCTGAAGGGCAGGTGTAAGAAGGCTACACTTGAGACCAAAGAGTAAAAAGTTGATGTGGGTAGCTAACCTCAGTAATGGTAGTAGGATTAGAGTTCGGAGCCTTGGTAGGGTGGGGTGTCTGTTCCTGGTCCCTCATTTCCTCAGCTTCTGGCCCTGGCAGCTTGTGGTTGCTTTTTGGAGAGGGAGGCTCTGAGCCAGAGCTGAGAAGATAAGACAGAGGGAGCCGCATGGGGAGTAGGCGCTGATAGATCAGCAGATCCCACTGGACCCTGGTTAATGGAAAATGACTGTTTCTGCTCTTGCTCAGCAATCTCAGGGCGTGTGTCTTGTCACTCTTGGCAGCAGGAGCAGAGAGGACAGGGGTGGCCACTGAGGCTCAGTTCTTGTGAGGCCAAGGAGAAACACAGCACTTTCTTCAGAGCCTTACAGTCTGTGCCCCAAAGCCGCATGTCCTGCCCTCCAGCCCTAGCTGCTGTGCTTCGGGCTCTGCCCTGTCTCTCTGCGCTGCCCACGCCTGCTCAGGCCTCCTTTTGCTGGTCTTCTGGACTCTCCAGGAGCCCATTCCTCAGGCCCCACGGAAAGTGTGCCCCAGGAAAGTGGTTAGTAGTTCCCCCCAAAGTTAACCAAACTCAGGATTACTGTATGACCCACCAGCTTCACTTTCGGTGTGAGGATCCAGAACAGGGTCAGACAGCTGCACCGGTGTTTGCAGCAGCATGGCTCCCAGCAGCCAAGTACCCATCACGGATGAGTGATGGACAAAACGTGTGCACATGCTACTCGGCCTCAGAGGGACTGACATTCCGATATGGCCTGGCTTGGCCTCTCAGTGTGCTGTGTGAGATACGCCAGTCCCCAGAGGGCAAATATGGCAGGACTGCACTTAGGCGTTGTCCATGAGGGCAAATTCATGGAGACAGGAAGTAGCATAAAGGCTGCAGGCTGGGGGACTGGGAGGGGGGATGACAAAAAAGTTCTGGAAGGGCCGGGATTTAGCTCAGTGGTTTCGCCGCCTGCTGTGTAAGCGCAAGGACCCGAGTTTGATCCCCAGTACCAAAAAAAAAAAAAAAGTACTGGAAGTAAATACTGAAATACTGTCACTATTTTTTTTTTTTTTTTTTTTGGTACTGGGGATTGAACTTGGGTCCTTCCGCTTGCAAGGCAGATGGCAGAACCACTGAGCTAAATCCCCGGCCCAATACTGTCACTATTAATGCCACTGAATTATACACTTAAAAATGGTCAGAATGACCACCTGCCTCGAAAGCCCAAGGTCCCGAGTTCGATCCCTGGTACCAAAACCAAAAAAGGTCAGAATGAGCCAGGCATGGTGGTGCATGCCTGTAGTCCCAGCACTTGGGAGGCAGGAGGATCACAAGTTCAAGCTCAGCCTGGGTACCTGAGTGACAGGGAGACCCTGTCTCCAAAAAAAAATGTAATAAAATGAGTTCAAATGATAAATTTTAGGCCAGGTGTGGTGGTGCACATCTGTAGTCCCAGCACTTGAGAGCCTGAGGCAGGAGGATCGCTGTGAGTTGGAGACCAGCCCGGGTTACACAGTGAGTTCAAGGCCAGCCTGAACTGCATAGTGAGACCCTGTCTTGAAAAAACTAAAAACAAAAAAAGAAGGGGCCAGGGATTTAGCTCAGTGGTTTCGCCGCCTGCTGTGTAAGCGCAAGGACCCGAGTTTGATCCCCAGTACCAAAAAAACAAACAAACAAAAAAAAGTGATACCTTTTTTTCAGGCCTGGGGATTGAGCACTTGTTCATTGAATTGAGCTACATACCCAGCTCCTTTGTTTGCTTGTTTACTCATTTGTTTACTGTAGTACTGGGGATTGAGTCCAGGACCTTCACACTGAGCTATATCCCCATCCCTTTTGTTGTTGCTTTTTTTTTTTTTTTTTTTGGTACTGGGGATCGAACTCGGGACCTTGTGCTTGCAAGGCAGGTGGCAGAACCACTGAGCTAAATCCCCAGCCCCGTTGTTGCTTTTGATACCTGGAATTGAACTCAGGGCCTCACACTTGCCAGGCAGGCACTGCACTGCTGAGCTACATCCCCAGCCCCCTGTTGTTTGTTTGTTTGGTTTTTTCTTCTTGAGACAGGGTCTCGATATGTAGCCCAGGCTAGCCTTGAACTCACAGCAATCCTCCTGCCTCAGCCTCCCAAGTGCCGGAATTATAGGCATGTAGCCACTTTTTGGGACAGGATCTGAAAAATACGAATATGCTTGTAGAACTTTATAACTGTAATGATCTTAAATTTGGATGAAATTTTTTTCAAATTGTTGCCATTGGATCTGTTGCTTATGATGTGAAGGTCTTATCGTGTCCCAGGGCTCCTTGAAAACCTTGTATGCCCTCCTGTGTTCTGTGTCTTCTGCTGAGAAGGAACCTAGGTCTTCCAGGGGCAGAAGACAAGGGAGGAGCTGGCACGGTGGGGCACAGCTGTATCCCGGCACTCGGGGAGAATGAGGCAGCAGGGCTACAAATTTGAGTCCTAACTGGGCAGTTTAGCGACTTGTTAAGACCCTGTCTCAAAACGTTAAAAAGGTGGTTGGAGGTGTAGCTCAGTGTGAAGGCCCTGAATTCAATCCCTGGTATGGCGAAAAAAAGACCAGGATCAGGAGTATGTCCAGCCAAGGCTTGGGGAGGTCAGGTTCCTGGTTTCCCTTCCCAGTGGGCGACAGAACTAAGACTCCAGCCAGTTTCTGACGTCGGGTCGGGTCTGGAGCACCGCTCAGGGCCTGGCTTTTCCGAGTCCTCAACACTGAGATGCAGCTTCTCCCGTTTCAGATGCTTTTTGCAGTATTGAACACAAGGTCCTTTGGACTGAATGTACCAACGTACATTCCCAGCCCTTTTTAAAATTTTAAATTTTGAAACAAAGTCTCACTAGGTTCCCCAGGCAGGATTTAAACTTGGAATTCTCCTGCCTTACCCTCCCAGAATGCCGAGATTATAGGCATTTGCTGCTACACCCAGGTGCCCTATTTATTTGTCTACTTTTGCTGCTGTTGTTTCTGTGGGGGTTTTGTTGATATTGTGTGCTTTTGAGACAGCCTTGCTATGCAGTTCAGGCTGGCTTTGAAATCACAGCAGTCTTCTTGCTTCGGGCTCCGAGGTGCTGGGGTCACGGGTGTGCGCCACCACGCCCAGCTGTTCCTAGATTTTTCAGGAGCCTTTATACAGTTTTCCATACTGACTGTGCCAACCAAGGGGATGTGTGAACCGTATCCGACACTTTTCTTTTTGGCACTGAGCTCCATCCCCAGCCTATTTTTCATTTGGAGACAGTGTCTTGCTAAGGTCGCTGAGTTGCCCAGTGTGGACTTGGACTTTGCCATTCTCCTGCCTCAACCTCCTAGAGTGCTGGGATTACAGCACTACTGGTGTTCTTATCTCCTGTTGCCTTTATTACAGTTTTCGGGTAATTGTCCTTCCTACTGCACTGAAAGTTCTTTTGGACAGGACACAACCTTCCTTCCACAGATCTTGAAGCTCCCTGGAGTAAAGGGTTCAGGGCTCTGGCTCCTGCACCTCCTGCCGGAGACGAAGTTGGAAATTGGCTGTACTACTTAAAGCGGGGTGCTATGCCTGTTAGCTTCTTAGTAATGACGCCTGAAGAATTCTTTAATGCACAGGCTCGAAAGGGGATTTGTGAGACAGGAGGCCAGTGGAGCATTTTTGTTCTCACAGGCTCTTGGAGAAAGGGACCCTAGATTCCTGCCTGGCTACCTTCATGTATAGATGCTAACCAGGCTCTGGGAACAGATGGAAAGCAGTGAGGTTCTTGATTTGGGAATGATTTGTTTTAAAAAGTCAAAGCTTGCTGTTGAGGTGCCTCCTGTCGTTCCTCAACTTGAAGATGCTGCTGAGCACACTGAGCTAGGGAAGCCTGGCTCTTCCTCAGTTGATGGCTTCTCCTAGAGTCGGTCCTGGGCAGTCGGAGAGGACATGGCTGACCGCCACGATGGACCCTTTAGTCGACGCCGGCCTGCCTTCTTCCTGGACATGCAGTCAGCTGGCAGATGATAGATCATTTTGCCAATGGCTTTGACCTTTTGTGCCTCAGAGAAAAGTAGTTAACATACCACTGAATCCCTCTGGGTTCCTGGCCCTGTGGTTATGTCGACTTTGTAAGTGGTTTTAAAAGTGGAGCTGAGATTGGGTGAGATGGTGGGCCAAATCCCATTCATCTTCTCCTGGACAGATTTACAGGGAGAATGGGCACAGCCTGTTCTGTCTGCTGAGGACCGAGTGGGAGGAAATAGTGGCAGTCTAACAGAATAGAATTGATGCCACAGAGGGAAGGCTGGGCCGTGGCCTGATGCTGAAGTCGGGCCCAGGGTGCTGCGCCTCTGTGCAGGGCGGCCAGCAGGACGAGTTTGTTGCCCAGGCCCGTTATTCTGCTCATCTAACCTGTCTCCTCTCCTAAATGGCAAGGCCTCATTCCATTTCTTTTTCTGTTAGTCAGATTCTGAGGAAGATGAACCCACAAAGAAGAAAATTGTCCTTCAGGTAAGCGTCATGACACAAGTCATGTCTTCTCTTCCACATTGCTTCCCAAGAGACGGGACCCAAAGTGCTCGGCAGCCTGGACACAGGGTCCAGCTTTGGTGTGCATATAGCTTCAGGCCTGGCGCACCCCTGGCCTCTCCTCATGCTTTTTGAGCTTAGTGGGTGAACCTCCCCTGGAGAACAGGCGGGGCAGGAAGAGGGCAGCAGAGGCACACTAATTCAATTCCGCTCATTACATTTCAGGTAAAAGGATTATTTAGGGAGGGTAGAATAAACGGATTGGTTAGAATGATGTTAGGGAGCATCTGTATTTTAAAATTGCCTGTCTTCTCCCGGTCTTATTTTTAACCTGGAAATAAACACTTAATAGCACTTACTTTGTACCAGGCTCTGTTCTGAGTGCTTTACGAGTGTCTAACTAATTCTGTCCTCATAGTAGTGCTAAAGTCAGAGTGTTATTATTATCCCCGTTTTGTATATGAGGAAACTAAGAACTTGGCCAAGGTCATCCCATGGAGGCAGAGCTGGGACGACAGTTATGTCAGACAGTCTGACTGCAGAGTCTGAGTCCAAGCCACTGCTGCCCTTGGCTGCTTCTCAGTCATCAAGTCCAAAAGTCCTCAGCGAGACGATCCTCCAGCTATCTGCTTGTCTCCCCTCATCCCAGCGCCTTTACTCCAGGCCCCCAGATTTCCCCTGCTCTCCACACTCAGGGCACACTCTGATCTGATGTCTCAGGAAGAGCAGTCCTGTCTTTCTAAGGTAGCTGTTTCAGGACTCACACACATGGTGCTGTCAGGCTCGGTGGTGCACACCTGTAATCCCAGCGCTCAGTAGGCTGAGGCAGGAGGCTTGCCACAAGTTTAAGGCCAGCCTGAACTATATAGCAAGTGTTAAGCTATCCATGCTGGATGTGAACTGCAGTCCTCTGCCTCAGCCTCCCAGAGTGCTGCGATCACAGGCATGCACCACCACACCCTGCTCAGGAGGTTCTGCAAGGACAGTGGTGGGTGAAGTTAGATTACAGCGGGTGCTGAAGGAGGAGGCATAGAAGGGGCTGGGGTGCTGTGTCCAAGTGAGGCCAGTTGTTCTCACTATCGGGTGGCTTCCTGAAGGAGGCACCCACAGATCACAGGCAGTCTTCCAGATGATAGGAAGGGTGAATGGGTGGAGGAGCTAGAGTAGGGCCAGCCCTGCAAGGGGATGTGGCCCTGAGAAGAGGCCATACACTTCTTAGGTGCCTTGAAAGGTGCTGCCTCCAACACTGCAGTCTGGTTCTTTGGTCCTGAGCCTCTGGGGGCTCCCAGACTGGATTCATTCACCTCTGTGTACTCAAACACAGGAGAGAGGGGCCCCTGTCCAGATGAACGGTTTCTCATCTGCCTGGCCCACTCGATTTGAAAGCCTTTTTCATTTATTTGGGCATTTCTTGGCCGAGAATACTGGAATACACTGGTACTCTAGGACAGCGACACAGTCACTTTATTCCACTCTCCGTGTTCCAGTTGGTGCTAGGCTGGCCCTTCAGCATATGGAAAGCAGGATCTGGGAGAGTCTTGTGGGCGATAGGACACTGGATGGGCCTAACAGGCCTTACCCAGCTGCACTGCCACATGATGGGCTCCCCTTGGGTGGGCACGGTTGTGTGCAGGAGGGGACTTGGGCCACTTGCCTGAGTGTCTCGTGGATAGAACTTCGTTCTTGATTCTAGAAAGGAAGGACAGGCCCTTCGGTATCCAGGTGGGGTTGCGCGGTCAGCTGGGGGTCAGCTCAGGCTTCTGGGGAGAAAGGGTGTTGTGAGATGTAGAGCACTCTGGCCGAGGGCAGTGCAGCTGGGTGGGTGAGCTGAAGAGGGAAGGGCCTGAGGCAGGTGGAGCCTGGCTGGGATCAGATGGCCTGGGTGGACAGAGGAAGAAGGTAATGAGGGCTGGTGAGATTTTAGGCTAGGGGACATAGCTAACTCTTGCTTTTGGTGTCACAGTGTATAACATAGAATCTCACTTGTCATCTTTTTTCCCTTCTGCCCCAACCCGGGCTCACCAGGGATCTGGCGAGGGGACTGGTTTGTCTGCCTTGCTTCCCCAACCTAAAAATCTGACTGTGAAAGAGACTAACAGGTTGCTCCTGCCCCATGCCTTCTCCCGGAAACCCTCAGATGGCTCCTCTGATGCCAAGCCCTCCAGACTGGCTTCTAAGACCAAGCCCTCCTCTCTTGCACCTGTCGTGGGCACCACAACCACCACTCCGTCACCCTCTGCCATCAAGGCTGCTGCCAAGAGCGCTGCCCTGCAGGTGACGAAGCAGATCACGCAGGAAGAGGATGACAGTGATGAGGAAGTGGCCCCTGAGAACTTTTTCTCCCTCCCTGAGAAGGCTGAGGCACCTGGAGTTGAGCCATACCTTTACCCTGTCCCCACTGTCCCTGAAGAGCTGCCTCCGGGCATGGAGCCTGAGCTGGCATTCCAGGACGATGCGGCCAACGCCCCGCTGGAGTTTAAGATGGCAGCAGGCTCCAGTGGGGCCCCTTGGATGGCTAAGCCTGGGGATGACTACAGCTACAATCAGTTCTCTGCATATGGCGATGCCAATGCTGCTGGTGCTTATTATCAGGTGGGTGGAGGGCACTGAGGGCAGGCGGGGAACATGTGAGCCGCTGAAATGGCCTCTGTGGTGTACTTGCTTTGATTTCCCTGTACCTGTTAGGCCTCAGAACATACTTTATTCTGGACCTATGGATCTAAATTATCCAAGTCTTAGAGTCTGATAGGGTGAGACACATAATTGACACCTTTATTCTGTGTGTGAGTCAATTTTCCATCACTGTGACAAAACACCCAAAAGAGTCAACTCAGGAAAGGATTGTTTTGGCGCCTGGTTTCAGTCCATGGTTCCATGGCCCCAGTGCTCTTGCACCTGTGGCAGAGCAGTACCTCATGGTGGATGCCTGTGGCTGGGAAGCAGAGAAGAGAGAAAGGGCCCCTTCAAGGCCACGCCTCCAATGACCTCACTTCCTCCCACTAAGCCCCACCTCCTAAAGGTCCCATCACCTCTTGGCAGTGATGCAGGTTGATGCCTGGGTCTTCATAGGGCACTGTCTGCACTGTAGCACTGGGAAAACAGTCTTACTTGGGAGCTGGTAGGAGGATCAGGGAGAGGACGGGTTCTCCTCAGTGTGGAGGCCACCAGTCAGGGCCCTGCAGCATAGACATCTGGATTGCAGTTAGGCCTGGAGAGTCTGGAGGGACAGAGGAGGAAAGGGGTCTGCAGAGCTGATGTGAAGGGTCAGTGTGGACTGGGCAGAGTCCTGCACTGAACAGGGGCAGCCGGAAGGGCTGAGGCAGATCCCTCAAGGAGGCGGCACGGACTGGCCTGCTCAGTGAGTGATGTGTCCTGAGCGGGGCAGTTGCTGTGCTGTAGCCGCAGAGCAGGGCCAAGGGCAGCTTTGGGAGGCAGGAGCATCTCATCGCGCAGCTCAGAGCTGCCTGGAGTGCAGTAAGTGCTCAGTAATTGGCCACTGCAACTTTCATCCACACTTTATTTAAATGCTATTTGGGGGAGAGATTTAATGTCTACGTGGGCTCAGGGTGAGCACCTAGGACGCCAGGCTGTGCGTGGGGTTCAGAGGGAAGTTCCAGCAGTGGGGGCTTCCAGGGTGGAGAGGGTGCCTTGGGGCTGGGGGCTGGGGTCGGTGAGCAGGAGCCTCATGAATGGGCAGCTGCGGAAGGCTTAGTGCTGCCTGGGGTGGTCAGAAGACTTGGGTCTCGCCTGTCTGGTCAGGGTTGGTCTTTCAGTCTGGACGTGAGTAGGAAAGGGCTTCCAGGGTCCCTGGTTTTTGTGTGTGGGGTGTGTGTGTGTGTGTGTGTGTGTGTGTGTGTGTGTGTTTCTTTGTTTTGAGACAGGGTCTTGCTCTGTAGTTCATGCTGGCCTTGAACTCACTATGTAGTCCAGGCTGCCCTCGAACTCCTGGCGATCCTCCTGCCTCAGCCTTCCAAGTGCTAGGATTACAGGCCTGCACCACCACGCCTGGCTGAGTCCCTGATTTGACCAAAGACTTTGAAAATGATTTTGTTTCCTAAATCATTGCTGTGTAACCCTGTGTCAGGCTGATTGGAAACACTGTCTCCCCTGAGGGTGGATAGAAGGGAGGAGGAAGATAATAGTGTTTTGACTTCTTAGCAAAGAGAAGGTTACTGCCTATTTAAAGTATAAGAAAGCACTGATTTCCATCCAGTAAATGAAAAAAAACTGGGATTCTATAAATAAGTTTTAATTACTTCTTTTTGGTGTGATACTTGGGAATGAACCCAGGGCCTTCACACTGAGCTACATCCCTAGCCTAGTTTAGTTTAGTTTGAGAGAGTCTTGCTGCGTTGCTGATCAGGGCTTAAATTTGTAATCTACCTCAGCCTTCCAGAGTTTTGGGATTATAGGCATTGGCCACCTTCCCTGGCTATATTCAGTTTTAAACGATTGAGGCAGTCTGTATAGATTAAAGCACTTTAAACTCTAGAGACTCGGAAATCTAAATGTATCTTATTTTGAATCATTGCCCTGGATTTTCCTATATTATTTTTGTGTAATTTCTTGGAGTTTTGGGCAAAGGTGGAAGAATTAGGAGAAAAGTGGAGGCAAGGAGGAAGCAGTTGTGGGCTCCATGGCCGGCTGACTTGGCCGCAGCGGGGCTTGCCCATGGCTCCACGCCCTTCTTCCGGGGTCCACAGCAGCATCTGAGCAGCTCACTTCTGAGGGGAATCATCAGATTCCTGGAGTAAAAATCTGGTAACACAAACCTAGTTTGTTTCCAGCTTTGTAAATTCCGAAATACCCTGAGAGCAGTTTACTTCACATCACATCGGGAACCATAGCTTCCTCCCACAGCCAGGTTCCCTGTGTCACAGGGCTGAGCAGGAGCAGGAGCAGGCTGGCGCCTCACCTCACCTCACATCATCCTGCTTTCGGCAAGCCTCCTGGGGTCTCGGGGGCAGGCAGAGGTCGGGGGTGGGCCGTAGCAAGGGAGCAGGGCACAGCCCGAAGCAGGAGAGAATGTCTTTATTCCTTGTCACCCTTCCCTAAAGAACACATCGGTCTGGATGATGCAGATCAGAAGCTGCAGGGACTGTTGGTGGTTTAGAGGGTAAGTCCCTGGATTTGCCTTTAACTGGTCATCTGAGGGGCTATAGTATGGGCGTCTCTCCACGCCTGTTTCGTGAGGTTTCACCATTTCTGGGCTAACTCTCTCCTCTACCCCGTGCCTCAGGGTGTGTTTCCCTCTTTGGCTGCAGGATTATTACAGTGGTGGCTACTATCCTGCGCAGGACCCGGCTCTGGCCTCCTCCCAGGAAATCGCCCCAGATGCCTCCTTCATTGATGACGAAGCAGTAAGTTCACACAGCACAAAGAACTTTCTGGGGAAGGTGCTACTGGGGATCGAACCCTGACCAGGCAAGCCCTCCACCACTGAGCTACACCCCAGTCCCCTAAGTGGTTGTCTTTGACCCATCTTTCACACCAGGTTTCAAATCTGAAGCTAAAGGAATGTGAATTTTTCAAAACCGTATCAGTTAGGACTAGGTTTGGCAACATGTAACAGAGAAACTCTTAAGTAATCATGGCCTGTGTAATGGAAGTGTATTTTGTCCTCATAAAAGAAGCCTTGGACAGGCTGGCCATAGTGCTGCGACAGCCCTGTAGCATTGTTGGGGATCCAGTCCCCTTCTGATAACTGCTTCACTGTCCCTAGGCTGTGGCCTTTATTATGGTAGCAGCTAGAGCTACAGGCGTCACATCTGCTTTGGAGCTGCAGTGGGTGGAGAAAGGAAGAAGAGGGACATTTCCTCTCCCTTTTCATGAGACTTCTGGAAGTTGAGAGCACTTGCGTCTCACTGACTAGTACCTGCTCCCTTGGCCATATCTAGTTGCAAGGAGGCCGAGGAGGAAATGTAATCTTTTACTTGGGTGGTAACATTCCTGGCTAGCAGCTTGGTTCTGTTAGACTGCTGAGTGAAGAGAGGAAGGGAGTGGATTCTGAGGCACCCAGCTGCTTGGTTAAATAACTAAGTGTGTCACAAGGCAAGGCGAAAGCATTGCTTTGTTCTGCCGCAAAGCCCATGCTGGGCAGAGTCCTGTTCCACCTGTTGGGCACACTGCTAGAGGCCTTGTGTGCAGGTGGGGCCTCGGCACAGGTCCCCTTCTAGATTTGGTTCTTTGCTGCTCACCTGCCTTGGTGTTGTCCCTCTGCACATTGTCCTGTGGTGGATACCACATTGGTCCCCTCCCCTAGGTATGTGCTTTCTGACACTTGAAGTAGTTGGGCTCTTCTGGCCCTCAGCGCAGGAGGGAGCTGAGAACTTACTCAGTGGCCACAGTCTGTTTCCAGTGGGTAGAGCGAGCCTAGGAGGCCTCCCTCATGTCTGGACCAAGACCTGGCTGGGCCCTTTGCGATTCTGTCCCTTCCCTCATACTCCCCGCAGGCACATCTTAGGAGGGTGGAGAGGAGCCAGAAGAAAGCAGAGCCGTATCCTAGAGGATTTGCCTGGCCCGGGCAGTGAGGCTCCCTGTCATCCCCATTCCACACTCTCCCTCTCCCACTTCCGCCTTGGTGTGGAGTCTGCTGATTTTTTTTTTTTTTTTTTTTGGTACCGGGGATCGAACTCAGGTCCTTGCGCTTGCACAGCAGGTGGCGAAACCACTGAGCTAAATCCCTGGTCCAAGTCTGCTGATTTGTGATACCAGACCAGTGAGAGACCAGACATGGAAAGAGACCAATTTTAGAAATCTTAGAACAAGAGAAATCTGAAAATTTTTTTATGTTTTGAGACAGGGTGTTGCTATGTAGTTCAGGCTGTCCTTGCACTCACTATGTAGCCCAGTCTGGCCTCGAACTTGTGGTGATCCTGCTGCCTCAGCCTCCAGAGTGCTAGGATAATATATAGGTCTGTGCCACCATGCCTGGCCTTGAATTTTTTTTTTCACTCTTTAATTATTTTTTGTTTTTTCTGTGTAGTCCTGGCAGCGATCCTCCTGCCTCAGCCTCTTGAGTGTTGGGGTTATAGGCATGGACCACCACCCCTGGGCTCTTCTTTTTTGGTGCTAAACCCAGGGCCTCTCATATGCTGCACAAGTGCCGTATCCCTGAGTCATATCTCCAGTTCACCTTGGACCCCTGTTCCCCCCATTCCCCGGTACTGGGGATTGAATCCGGGGCCTTTTCACTAAGCTGCGTCTCTAGCTTCTTTAATTTTTTTTTTTTT